CCAGGCTCGCCCTCCTCCTCCTCCTCTTCCTCCGCCTCGCTCCGCGGGGTGCGTTTGGGAGCAGGGTGTGCACAGCGGCTCCTCACGCTGACCCTACTGCCAGGAGTGGGATCTCCTCGTGCCTGAGGAGCCGCAGGAGCATTTTTACTAAGTTTTAGTCCAGCAGGATTCTGGTAAAGCCCTGCCGGCGTGCCGTGCAGCAGTTCAAGGGGCTGCCAGCGTGCTCAGCTTCCTCTTCTCTGGGTGTACTTGCTTATAGTGTTCATTGTCTAATGGCTGAGAAAACAGCAAAGGGTTCAGGAGAGGTTCAGAGGGATGAAAATCTGCCTTAAGCTTTGTTGGCTGAAGTTACCAGAGTCTAGTGGAAAGGTGATTAAGAAGCTACTTGTTCACGCTGTTGAGGAGATGGATGCAGTCTGTGTTCTTGACGGTGGTTTTCAGCCCACGCTTTCTGACTCCTGGGCGCTCTGGGGACCATTTCTGGAGGTCCGTGGGATGTAAGTAGGGCAAGAAAGCCATTTCCCAGACAGAGACGTCTGCATTTCTTTTGGAAAATCTGTTAGGATCTGAAAATTCAGAGTTTGAAATTTAAAATGCTGCACCAGACTCCAAAGCAACATACAAGCAAGAAAGATGTGGACTTCTTGCTAGTAGCTAATGATAACTAAGCTTCTAGTCTTTAACTCAGAGTAAATTTTCTTCCTTAATGACCAGCTGCTAAGCGAACAGAAGCGATGGCCTTGATGAGGGAAGAACAGAGGCGGCTCCTTGTTTCCCAGGAGCCAGAGGAGGTTGTGATAGCTCACTGGAATGGTTTCTCCTGGCCTGGGGTGTTTGAGGCTGTGAAGCACATTAGGCAGTCACGATCTGCAGCACGTGCTGCGAGGCTTCGCACCCACTCTGGAGAGGTGTGGAGCAGCCCAAACCCCGCCGCTGAAATAAGGACATGGAGTTTAATCTGCGTTTTGGAATCGGGTTTGTTCATCGTTCCTCTCCAATTCCAGCAATACGTGTTGTAGCTTCGTGTTACTCATTTAGCAGTAATTAAGTCTGATTTTTACACTGTGCCAGTGTGAGATACCATCTTCCAGGCAGCTAGTAAATGGGTGAGTTTGCTCCGCATTGCTTTGTGGTAGCAGCAATTAACATGGTTTTAGTATCAAGAGAAAAACTGACACGATGAAGCTGTTCCAAAGCCTTTTACCTGCCACTCCATTCGATTGTCAAATGCTTTGGGGGCGGCGGGTGCTGAAATGAGATTGCTTTACTTGTGCAAAATGGCTTAAATACTGAGCTGTGTTGTCAGTGAGGCACTAAGGGAGAGACCTGACGGTCATTTTGTCCACAAGCATCCTCCCAGGCTCGAGCTGTGCCTTCCCCCAAGCGTACGGACCAGCTGGGTGGGAGACGTCCCGCGTGTCACTTTGTCCGGTCCCCCCCGGGCTGCGCTGGCCCCGCACAGGTCTGGCCATGGCTCCGGGCTGCCGGGTGCCGGTGGGTCCCACGGACATGGGGGGGACACCCCACCGGCGGGGGCCGCCCGTTCGCTCTCACCGTGCGGTGCTGGAGGGTGCCGGGGAGCTGCCGGGGGGAACAGCAACCAGCAGAGACACGTGTGTGTGTGTGTGTGTGTGTGTGTACACACATGTGGATAAAATTCACACTCTGCGGTCACCGGTTCCTGCTGTCCCCATCCGTTTGTCTTTTCTCCTTGTGAATCTTTAGTGCCTGTTGCTGAAGCACCCTGATCCTTGTTTGCCATAGGAAACTCCATTCCCTGTACAAATATTTTCTTGGGCTGCACATGGTTTTTTTCCCCCGTCTTATCTGTAGTAGAGATATTGGGATTTTAGCTTGTGTGCGCTATCTGTCCCCTGTCTGGATTGCTTTCCAGCATTCCCAGCAGTGGTATTGGGAGGTTTTCTTGTCGGGGATTTCGGTGGTGCTTCAGCCTGTTGCACCCTCAGTCCTGGGAGCGAAGGCGCGCGGGAGCCCTGTGCAGTGGCAAACGCTCTCATCCGAGGAAATGTGCTCAGGGGTTAGGAACGGGTGCTCGGAAAGATGAACTTTCTTTATGTCAGTGGTCCTGCTATCCGTGGGCCTTTCTGTAGGCTTGCTCTGGAGCCTAGAGGTGTCCACAAAGCTTTGCATCCTGTTCCCTGTGTCAGGTACCTACGCGAGGATCAGTCGGAGCTCAGCTGAATTAACTGTGAAAATGAGTTTTAAGAGCTTTGGGCTGCCAGCACGAGAGACGAATTGGGAGGGAAGCAGCAGCAAACCGTTTATCCCAGCCTTAAGGGGAGACAAAAATCATCGTGCAAATTAGATTTCTGGCAGATCTTATAACAGGAATACATTTTAACTTTCTGAGCAAAATTGCAGTATAAGGTCAAACTATATTGAATTAATTTGTTTCCTGATAAAAATGGCTTCTTACTGAAATTAAGGCTGTCTTTTGCCTTGTCATTGTTCCTGTTTGGATTTATTTCAAAGATGAATGAGTAAAGGAAAAAAAATGTAATTTAAGAAACCTCTTTTTTTTCCAGGAAAGGATTCAATTCTCCTTTTTAGTTTTTTCTTTTTTTATTCTTATCATCCCTTTAGTGAAAGTATAGGCTCCATTGTTAGAATTTTAAAGAACAATTAGTGTGTAAAGCTTCCGTATTATTTTAATTTCTTGATGTGAATGGTTGTCAAATTGATAAATGTCCTTTCATCCGAATAAAATTAGTGCCTGAAACTTGTTGTTTACCACAGCTGAATTTAATGAAAAATTTAGAAACAAGGAAATTCTGAATTTCTTGCTCGGTTTTTACGTAATTGCAACAAAAATGCATCACATCTAAGAAGTTTTCGTCAAAGATGCTGTATTGCAGGTCTAGTGAAAACGCAGAGCTGGTGCTTTCACTGGGCAAGAACGCGGGCATGCTGTACTTCCAAAACAACTGATATTTGCTCACCTTCAGCTACTTTTAAAAGAAACAGTGTTTTTTAGAGTTGTGCTGCAGAAATACACAGCTCAGAAAGGCCAAGCAAGCAGCTGGTACCAGAACTGTCGAGTCGGTCTGGTCGGTATGGGATAACCTGGAGAGCAGCCGGGCGCTGTCCTCCTGGGTCTGTAACATGTGTCAATTCTCTTCTCCAGGGTCGATGTTCAAGGGAAAACTGCAAATACCTTCACCCACCGCCACACTTAAAAACACAGCTGGAGATCAATGGCCGCAATAACCTGATTCAGCAGAAGAACATGGCCATGCTGGCCCAGCAGATGCAGCTTGCCAACGCCATGATGCCTGGTGCCCCGTTGCAGCCCGTGGTACGTGCGCTTTTTGGCTTCCATCAGTGCGTTGTAGTTGCGGGACCTGTATTCGCTCTGTTGGATGAGTTCTTCCACTTTTGTTTCAAAAAACACGGTGACAGTTAATACTCCTCAAAATATAGCTCAATCCTTAGGAAGAACCAGCTCAGCAGAATGGAGACTCGTGCCAAATAGTTGTTTGGCCCCGCATTTTGTGGGTCTGTGGCATACCAGTAAATGTTTGGTAGCTTATGTGATTCAGTTAATGTAACTTATTCCCCCACAGAGCTTTATGCCTCGGCTGTTTCGAGTGTACGTGGTGGAGAAAAGCAGAAAATGTTGCGGAAGGATCATCACTGTAAATTGGCTTCAGTACCAGTTAGCACAGCATGAGAAGATACAACATTTTATTTTCTCTCGTTTGATTGACTTTTCTGTAAATAAATTGTCTGTGTCAGCTAGGCAAGGGGACGAGCTTGGGCAGCACCAGCGCAGGGACATGAGCGGCCTTGGCACCACAGTGCTTGGGGCTGGCGTTCAGATCAGAGACAGAGCGAGGGGTCTGTGCAGCTGGACAGCTCAAAAGCAGGCGGCACTTCACGTGCTTTAACTCCAGAGCAACCTCAAAATGATTTTTAAATTTCAGCAGCTCAAAACAGATGTGTGCACGTGCCACAGTTGTGTTTCTGTTTCCTGGTTTGAGTGCAGTGATACAGCCTTAGTGACAGGAAATTAATCTTTGGGACTATGAGAAAGCTTGAGGCAAAATGCAGCCAACAGCAAGAACCACCGCTTAAAATAATATTCCCTGTTAACCTGTTTGTCATTTCATGAATTGCAACCAAGTAGGGCTCTCTGGGGTTTATACAAAGCAGTGTGTAGGCACACACCAACATTTAGGTAAATCTGAAAAAAAAAAACGAATGCAGTCCTTTGGATTAGCATTCCTTTTTAATATAAAGAGAGGTTAGTGTGGGGTAACATGTAAATCAAATTTAAATTCTGCTTTATGCAACACTCGCACTGTCCCTAACGAGCAGGATTAAGTCAGTGTATTTTGCAGTGCAGCGTACACCTTCTGCCTGTGATTTCTGTGCCCATCGCTTGAGTTCAGACCTCACAGACTCTGTGTTTTCAGAATTCAGTCTAATTCAATGCGAGGATTCATAGCAAGGCCACTGGCTGGCCCAGCAGTAGTGTTCCCAAATGGGTGTCATCCTACTGATTTGGCCTTAAAATTACTTTATTTTTCAGCACAGTTGAAACAGACGTTATTTCAGGGTGTTCTAGTGAGTGATTTATATCATCCCATCTAGCGATGCTTTGGTCAGTTTGTTTTGTTTTACAAAAATCAATCTTACGCTTTAATAAAAGTAAGTGAACTAACTTAATGAGGGATGCTCATTTGGTAAGCAGAGCAGTAGGATCCTTTCACTCGTATTTCTGTTTGATTAATGTTTTAATTATCTTAGTTGCATGTCATGTCTGTGGACTTTTCCCATCTTTCCTTTTTAGCTCACTCTCTTATCTGTCCTTAGCTGGCACTTGAGAGAGGAGATTTCCAGTGGTCAGTGGGGATTGCGTGTCCTGCTGGCTGCAAGGACTGAGATCCTGAGGAAGAGCTCTGCCTGCGTGGATCAGTTCTGCCCTCCTGGCTTGGAAACCGGCTTAGGGGGAGCTGGGCTCAGCCCGACTCTGGCTTTGGTACCGGAGCATCAGTGGGTACTGGCGCATCAGTGGGTGATGCTGTGCTGCTTCACAATAGCAATGTCAGACCCTGGATTTGCCTTTTCCAGTGTGGAAGTGTGTGAGAAAAGCTAAAGAGAAGCAGGAGGATGCAGCAGTGAGACCAGCAGAGTGGAGATGGCGCCTGGAGGTGGCTGGAGATGCTGGGGCTGTTCCTCCCTCCTGGGGCTGTGGGCACGGGGATCCCAGAGGCTCTGCACGGCCTGAGCCGTGGGGCTGTTTGCCAGGCGTGCGTTTCTCCAGCACACCAGAGGCGATCCGGGCACGGGTCTGCAGCAGAGCGAGGTCCCAGAGCTTCCTACCTGTCTTTGTGCGGTCCCCAAGGCGCTGCAGAGGCTGTCAGCATTCCTCTCTGTGTATGTGCTCCTCTCCCGTGCTTTCCTGGGCACAGCAGGTGCTCAGTAGATGGCTGGTAAAGATGCGTTAAACAAGTCCAGCTCCTTCCCTGCGGGCCAGACAAAGCCCATCTGTCTGTCTGTCCGTCCATCTGTCCAGGGAGGAGCCGTGGCTCTGCTGTGCTGCAGAGGCTGGTTTCCAGAGGTGTCCCCCTGTCCCCTTCCCGGTGGATGGACCCTGTTAGTGAGCAGTGCCTCTGAAGGGCAGACCCACGGAGATGAGCCCTGCGGGAAGATCCACGCTGGTTGTGCACAGGCGTTCTTAGAGCAGAATTATTCGTCAGAGGAGGCGACGTTGGTTGTGGGGCATCTGGCAGCACGGAGCTGTGCCCAGGGCTGTGTCCTCCTTCACCTCTCTTCTCCCTGCTGGTCTGCAGGAGCTGCTTTTTCCTTTTTTCAGCTGGTTTGTGTGATGCTCAGCATAGCAGGGCTCACACTGCGAGGCCAGGAAGGAGTTGTAGGGTTTGGTAGTGGTGATAGAGAAATATTGCCCCTGCTTCTGGAGATGGGGAAGTGAAAGCTCGCTGGAACATGAGCGAGCAACAAGCGGCAGAGACGAGCCCAGCGGCTGGTCTGACTGTAGGATGGGTTTTTAACTCCTGCCCTGTGTGTGTACAGCACATTGCAAAATACCAGTGAGCTTCAGAGTAATGGGCAGTGGCTCTGAGAAAACATGCTGTTATTCTGCATGGTCTGAAGGCTGCAGGATATTTCTGTTAATGATCTCAGTAGATAATAAACGGGATAGTCTTTTATTTACTGTACTGGGAGTATATAGGGCTGAAATCAACTGTTGGTATCTCTGAAGTTACACACTAACAGGCTGGTTTGTAGGCATGTTTTTAATGTTCATTATTATGTAGCTGGTAACACAGTAATGAAGAGGGCAATTAAGTAATAGTGTGTTTAAGAGCAATATTTAGTTTCCTGTACAATTTGCCTGTTTGTTTTTCATTCATGTGGGTGAAGAACCAGAGGCACTAAAGAAGTCATTCCCACTTACACAACTTTCAGTCTTTTTTCCTCAGTAGTCTCTGGATGCGTTTTTATCCGGTGTGTCCAATGGACTCGTTCCGTGCTTCCAAGCAGCGCAGTCATTTCCTCAGTGGCACAAAACCACGTGGTGGTGTGTGCTGCCGGGCTTCAGCGGATAGGAAACAGAGAGGGACTTGCAGTAACTCTGTAGCTGGTTTTCGCTCTAAAATTTAGTTTGGAAGAAAAATCTAAATGCATTGAGTAACTGCTTCATTTAGATACTGGAGATAAAGACTCCAGGCTAGGTTGTGTTTGGCAGTCAGACTGGTAGCGCAGTCCTTTGCATCCAGCAGGGCAGAAGAGTTATTTAATCTTTACTGCAGTGCAACAGCTCCACGTTTGGTCTCACAGCATTATTTGGTCTTCTACATCTAATTATCTTCGCAACATGTGATAGCTACAAGGGCATCTGACACTCTTTAAAACAAGCAAACAAGCAAGAAGCCCCAGTACCTCCATCCTCTCTCTCTCTCTCTCTGGGTTAATGTTTTAGTCTAAATAAAGCAGATCCTTGGTGCAGTGCATTTCTTTCTGAATATCTGAATGGACAGCCTGTTTAATTCTGTAAAAATAAATTATTATGTCCGTCTGGCTTGTATTAAACCTCTGTGATTTCTGAACCAGTGCTGGCTGTCCCCAGGTCAGAAACCTATTTATCCCTGTCTGAAGTTGAGCGTGGTGTGATGCTGTGTTGGGGCTCTCCCGCAGATGCCCTGTTCCCCGAGAGCGGGTGTTTGTCCACGGCTTGGACTTTCTCCTGGGGCGTGAGGAGCGCTTGTTTGTGATGGCGTTGCTCAAGTGCGGATGAAAGGGTTTGCTCCAGGAGCTGCCACGTGCTGTAGCCGTGCTGGGGCAGCTGGAGCAGAACCAGCGGAGGCTGACTGGGGACGCTGCCCTCCCTCGGGGACTCACCCATGTGCGACGTTTGCACGGGTGTCCTTTGTGTTGCACAAACAGGACAAATGCTGCTTTTCCATTAGTAGTGGAAACCCACCGCCATCGTGCTCAAGATGATAGCAAACATTACAACCCTGACAGCACGGCAAGTACAGACATTTAAAGCGTCTTCTTCTTTTCTCTGATTGCAGCCGATGTTTTCCGTCGCACCGAGCTTAGCCACCAACGCGTCGGCCGCCTTTAACCCCTACCTGGGGCCCGTCTCACCAGGCCTGGTCCCAGCAGAGATCCTGCCCACTGCCCCCATGCTGGTGACGGGGAACCCCGGCGTCCCGGTGCCGGCCGCTGCCGCTGCTGCTGCCCAGAAGCTGATGAGGACAGACAGGCTGGAGGTACGAGCCGATATGTGTAACTTACTCTCACAAGTTGTATCATTTATTATGTCTCCTAGATATAAAACATGTTTCTTGTGAAGGAAAACAATGCGGGTTGCACTTCAGCTGATGATGCTGTATCTTGGTGATGGGTTAGGACAGGGAGTGACCGAGGGATCATGCAGTGAGTTAATGCTTGTGGTTCTGCTTCTGGCCCCCCGTTGCAGAAAGAAATGGAAATATTGAGCCCTAAAAGGAACGATTGCCGCAGCAGCAAGAGCCTCGGAACTGTGTAGTGTGTGCCTGGAAGGTGTTAGTGTGCAGGGTGAGCATGCAGGGGTACCGAGCACCGAGGGCTGGGGGCATGGCAGAGCATCAGCTACCTGGGTGGAAGATGGCTTTCAGCCTCCCTCTCACTCTCGCTCTGGACAGATGGTGCCAGCGCTCCCCCGCCGGCCTCCCGCGCCCAGCTTATCATCCTTGCTACAACCCTGACAAGTGTGAGTCCCCTCTAGCTGGTGCTTTCCCTTGCCCTGAATCTTTCTTATCTGAAAGGCCTGACAGTGTTTTCAGCACCTTATCGGTGCTGCGGCAGCGTGGGCGGTGAGCCAGCGATGTGCTGCCGGCTGCAGCACGCTTGGGGCTCGCCTGCGCGCACAGCCTGCGAGCAGAGCCTGCGAGTGACACAGCCTGTGAGTGACACAGCCTGCATGCACAGCCTGGTAGTAGAGCCTGCGAGTGACACAGCCTGTGAGCAGACCCTGCATGCACAGCCTGCCAGCAAGCACAGCCTGCAAGCACAGCCTGTGCACAGGCGCTCAGCAGCCCTGGCCAGGTCTGGTGGTTAAAAGGCAGCGATGGGAGAGGCTGAGCAGGCAGGGCGATGTGCTGTCACCCCGTTTGTAGGACACGCAGGGTGTTAGGGCGCACGCTCCCTGCGAGAGGCTGGCTCTCCCTGTAGCACAGCCGCCAGTGCTCTCCTGCCAGCTGCAGCTTTGATGGGTGCTGGAGAGAGCCGAGCCGTGCTGTGAGCCGTCCCTGCAGCCCCAGCCCTCCTGCCCCACTGCCCGGGGCTCAGCACTGCTGTCCCTGCAGCGCCTCAGAGATCCTGGTGCTGCACCATCTCCTCTGCGCAGGGACGGTGGGAAGGATTAGGGGTGCCGGGGGTGGATGGGCTGCTCTGCTCTTGGATATGGTCCCTGAGCTCGGGGAGCACAAGGGGAGGAGCGAGAAGGATCTCTGTTTTAAAATGCAGCCAGTTGTAATTGTAATGGTTTTATTTCTGCCCATGCATCTGCAGTAACAGGGGTTAATTCTCCTTACAAGAAAAAGGAATTCCTTTTTCTTAGTTGCATCTCTGACTGCCAGGCTGCGAGCTGGGAGGAGCGCGGAGGGTCAGCTGGCAGCGAGCGTTTCCCGCTGTTGCTGTCACTATTCTCAGAGCTCACGTCACCACAGGTTCCCCTTCTGCGGGATCGCATCATTTCCCTTTTTAGAGATGTTTTCTCCGAGGAAAGCATTCCCCAGCGCACGGTCAGGTTACAGGAGAGGGAGCCGCGCCGAGCTGTGGGCTGCCATACGGGTGCTGTTTGGGATCACCCAGAGATGGTTTTCCTCTGAGGACTCTTATTTTGTGATGGACACCTGCCAGAGGTGCATTAAAACCAAAGTGCAATTAGAGAAATTCATAAATAAATCACACTAGATTCAGAAATGAGTACCAGGAGGAGGATGCTGATGGCGGGGAGCCCTTTGGGTCGCAGCGCCAAGGTCGGCTGCTGTGTCTGTGCTTCCCCCCATGGAGGGGCCATGGTGCTGGGCAGTGGTGCTGGGGACACGGGGGCTCAAAAGCTTTCTGTTCGTAAGCAGGAGCAGGATGTACCTGACATCCCCGAGCAGCAGCTCTGCCCGTGGCCGGGGAAGCACGTACGTCTGTGGGATTTTGAGAGGGGCTGCGCGGGGGCCCCTCTGCGTGTGGTGCCTCCAGGGCAGAGCTGGTGCTGGCCAGCCGTCTGCGACCGCAGTGCGCGGGGAGCTCAGGAAACCCGAAACTTGGACGTGCAGGATTTGGTCCCCCAGCCGCTTGTGTTCTCTTTACATAGCTGTTCAGAGAAGCGATACGCTGCTGAGCCCGACTCCTCTGCACGAGAGGAAGCTGTGAGAGTGCTGCTCCCACCAAACACCCAGGGGCACAGTCTGCAGGAAAAACCATTGTTATCAATTAGGAAAAGCCAGCAAATACGTCTGAAATCAGTGCAATTTTAGAGAAGTCCAAGTGGTTTTGCTGAGAGCTTGTATGGAAAGGAAGATGATGGCCAGGTTGGAAACCCCTGACAGTGAGCGCTGAGGCTCGGAGGAGTGCCTCTGTTGTCCCCTCTCCTGGTGGAACGGCACCGTGCCGGGACTCCGCTGGGAGCAGACCTCGGTTCCCCCAGGGAACGCCGGCGGTGCGGGAGCGGCCAGGTGCCCCGGTCTCAGCCATGGCCAGGATGCGGTTGAGCAGGGCGCTCACTTCGCTGCCGTGTTCTGCAGCTGATGAAAGTCACAGCTCGTCAGCCGCCAGCAGCCTCCCCTGCTGTAATTGGCTTTATCTCAGCGGGCTCTGCTCGCGGGGGATGTCCTTGTCCTTGGAGGAGGGCTGTCCCAGCCCTGCCTTCCCCACAGGGCCTGCCCTTGGCTCTGCTCTAGCCCTTGCACCGTGTGGATCACTGTAAAGAAATACAGCTGCTTCTGCCCTTTAAACTGTTTAAGTTTTGCTTTTTATTTTGTCTGGGATCAGGAGCACATCCAGGTTGAGTCACTGACTCTCAGTTCCACACGGTGCTGCTGTTTTACAAAATTAGTGTCTGTTACGGGGAGGGGGTGTCTTTTCCTTCTTTTTTGCCTTCAGCAAATGGAGTTTACGTAGTGAAATTTGTAGGTGAGAAAATAATTCGCTAGTGCTTCCCAGTATATGGGTCACTTCATCTGGAGCATCCAAACTCAGTATCCAGATACCAAACAAGCACAGCATTTTTATGAACAGCCAAACATTTTAATGTACTTTATAGAGTACAGAAACGCAGAACTGATATGAAAGATTTTGCATGGTCTGGTTGTTACCTCTCAGAGAAGCCAGCGTGTGTCTACCTGCTCTTTAAGCGAGCCTCCTGCTGTCGGTGCTGTCATTTGTTATGGCCTGATTAGAGAGCTTTATAAGGCTTAGCTCGCTCTCCCTTGGAATGAACTGTCCTTGAGAAAAATAACCGCTATGATGTTAGCATCTAATCTTGGAACATGATTTGTTCTGCTTAGAATTTTAAATACTTATTTGCAAGAATGATGTCCTCTGGCGTTAATTAAGTTAGCACACGTGTTCTGGGGCACTGGATCAGACCGTCCCACAGCTACAAGCTCTCAGGACGTACACCTGGGGTTTTAAGGAGACAGCACAGATCTGTCAGGCAGTGCGCCCGGTCTCCTGAATTAATCCGAGTGTTGGTAAGAGAAAGTCAGTGACTGTTACTAGCAGCAGGATTTGGACCGTGTCGCCTGTTCAGATAGCGTGCAGATGTTGGCGTGTCCAGTGCATTCAGCCGCTCCCGTAAGGAGTCTGAATTTCAGGGTGGAAATTTCATGGGCTGAGGCTTTTCCTGCAGCTTTCCTCGCACTCCTCTCCTGCCAGAAATGTCTTGAACAGAAATGTGGCTCTTGCAGTGAACTAGAAGGGAAGCGGGAAGGACAGGGAAGTGAGAGAGAAAGGAATTGCCTAACTGTTTTATTTAAAATGCAAGTGTTTCCGTTTGAATGCCATCATTTTCTATTAGAAGCATTCAAGAGTCGAGAATGACCACAACCAAGCTGCTTGAAGAGGTGCCACCTCCTTCCCCAGTCCCTCCCAGTGCCGTGCGGGCTGGCAGAGTGGTCGGTGTCTCTGCCTGGGGACTGGAGCAGGGCAGGGATCTGGCTGCAGAGGCACCTGGAAGGCAAGTGGTTATTTTGCAGCTGAGGAGTTTCCCCATCTATTTCATGTGTGCAGAAACAGTTCTGCAGTCACGGAGCACGAGCAGTGGGGCTGTGGGGTGAACGAGAGCAAGGAGGTGCCTGAACCCGCTCTTTGGGCTCTGCTGCGAATGTACATCCAGAGCATGGAAAAAGGCTATAAATGGGGTCACGCTGGAGTGACCCTGGCCAAACGGATGTTTCCTGCAAGCGGGTTCACAAATGGTGTTCTCTTGTCCTTCGGGGGTGTCGTTAGATGATGGGAAGCTGGTACTTGAAGCAGCACAGGAGTTAAAAAGCAGCTAGAGCGCTAGCATGGATGGAAACCAAATAACAACCAAATTTGGTTCCTTACAGGGATCAGAGCCAAGGTCCTGGAGGAAATACTGATGATCCAAGCTCATGGGCACCCACCTTTAAAAGGAAATTCCATCTACTAAAGTGGTTTTATTTTTATACGAGCTTGGTTGCTTTTGTCCCTTTCTGTTTCCTCTAGCCTTTGGAAAACTAAAATGACAAATGCATTTTTGTTTGTGGTTTGTGGAGAGCTGACCACGAGAAGAACACAGGCTGTTATTTTAAATACAGGCTTTGCAAGGTGTGTGAAGAGGGAGCCGATGTTTGTTGCACTGGGATAGGGTTTGTGCCTGCCCTGCTGGTGCTGGCTGGAGGTCCGGGGGGTCGTGGAGCCAGGCTGGAGCCCGTGCACCGGCAGCACGGATGCTGCGGGGGGGTGCTCTCCAGCCAAGCAGGTTTCTTCCTGCGGTTTCTGGTTTGTTCAGCTTGCTTTGGCTGCTGTCGTGCAGCAGTGTGACAGCAGGACTGGTGACCACAGCCTCCGCTCTTTCCCAGCGCAGCCCACCTCCCACTGGTCCTTGTGGTGATCGTGGGCAGCCCGGGAGAGGCTGTGTGTTTTGGATTGCCCTCTCGTGGCAGGCGCCTGGATCGTGGGGACAGTGCGGTGCCACACATCCCGACGGGCGCGGCGTGCTGCCCAGCACTGCACGAAGTGCCCGTCGGTGGGACTGCTCGGGGTGGCCGTGCAGTCATCCTCCCGGCACCGCGGCCGGTCCCCTTCATTAACGCATCGAGTGTCACGAGCTCGGGCACCGCCAGGTCACAGCAGAGTGCGACCGTGGTGCTTGGGGTGATCTCTGGGAGCTAGCCACAGCAAGTGTCTTCAGAAAACAGAAAAAACCCTGTGGGTGGCTAGGCAGGAGCCAAAAGAAAACCTGCTGTGCGCTTGGCTCATGGTGCTGGTGGGTTTTGATGCTCTTTGCCATCAGACGTGGCTACGGAGAAGCGAGGTCCCTGCTGCCAGGAGCTCACCCCGCCGTCCTGCTGCTGCCCTGCTCCTCCTGGGGCCGGGTGCCCACCCTCGCGGCACCCTCACAGATTTCCAGAAATCCCACCTCCGCTCCAAGCTGTGCCCACAACGTCCGTCACCCGAATTAAGCGATTTTCTTTTCCTGATGTCACAGGTATGTCGAGAGTACCAGCGTGGCAACTGCAACCGGGGAGAGAACGACTGCCGGTTTGCTCACCCCGCCGACAGCGCCATGATCGACACCAACGACAACACGGTCACCGTCTGCATGGATTACATCAAAGGGAGATGCTCACGGGAAAAGTGCAAATATTTTCACCCTCCTGCACACCTGCAAGCCAAGATCAAGGCCGCCCAGTACCAGGTTAACCAGGCTGCAGCTGCCCAGGCAGCAGCGACCGCAGCTGCCATGGTGAGTGCGGAGGATGCCCCTGGAGCGAAGTGTGTTGCCGATAACCGGCTGGAGGGGGGTGCGTGTGCTCGGGGACCCCAGGCACGACATGGTGCAATGAGCTTTCTCAGCATGTGGTGCCGGATCTGCTCTGAAGTAGTTTCAGACCGTTAAGACGTTTCACTAATTCTGCCTGCTGGTGTACGGAGTATCTATATGTACATATACGTGTGCATCCGTGTGTGTGTGTGTGCATACATGTATATAGAGTTTATCGTATGTTTGTGTGTGGGTAGATGTGTATCTATCTAGTTACTCAGATAGATAAACCCATATTTCAGTTCCCGTAAGTCCATGTTTGTAGACACTGAGTTTGAAGTCGGTCTGACTGTTAGTGCTGTCCATAACCACCTCCTGCCCCCCGGGGGCTGGGGCAGCTCTCGCAGGGCTCGAGAGCAAACCTCGTGGTGGTGGCAGCCAGCCCTGGACCCCTCAGGGGCTGGTTCCCCACCGAGGAGAGGCCAGCGCCCGAGGAGGGCTGTGGCGGCACGTTGTCCCGGCCGTGCCGAGCACTGTGCGGGTGTGGGCAGAGCAGCACGGCGGGCCGGAGGAGCG